GAGAGAGGGAGAGAGAGGAGGTGGGGGTGAATCGGAGAGCGGGAGCCGCTTCCGCCATACTTTGTAAACAAAAGTGATTTGCAAGACAAAAGGAGCGCAACCTTCCGAGTAAATTCTGCAGCTCGGAGGGGAGGGAGAAAAAAAAAAACCCAGCAGAAAAGTTTTGCCAAAAAAAAAAAAAAAAAAAAAAAAAAAAAAAAAAACAGCCCCGCGGACACCAATTAGGCCCGATTAACATGTAAAGCCAATTTGATAAGGTGTGGGCCCTATCCTCTCAAATCCGCATTAAAACCCATCTTTTCCTCCTCGTCGCAGCCAAAAATTCCATTCACACCAGCCAAACACACATAATCCATATGATATGCCATTGTTATGCTTATGTTGCTCACGTGTTGTTGGAAAGATACGGTCTGCTGTCACTTTATTACAGATAAGGCCACACCAATACGGTCTGGCACAAAAAGGAGGTGTTGCATTCACTTAGAATTATGTTATTTCCTACTGGATGAAAATTAGTGAGGGTGAGTTGGAGTCTAGTTAGTGAAAAAAAAAAGAAAGGAAAAAAGAAACAAAGCAAAGGAAGCCTTTTTACCACCTTCAGCAAGAGTCTTTTTTTTTTCATTTCAGGTAGCGTTTTCATCCCCCCTCTCCCACAAGTCTGCCCAACCTCCTACTTGTTCTTTTATAAACTAATCGTAATTACATGTCGAAACTCAAAACCCCCGCCAAATGTCTCAGCGGGCACGGAGAAATACGGAGGGCCAGGAGTGGCGGTAAATATCTTAACATTCACAAGTCCAAGAGGCACTTAAAAGAAAAAAAAATGCGGGGCGGATTTAAGGCTCGAAGCAGGAGAGCTGGCCGCCCAGATCCCCCCCAATTCTTCCTTCCCTCGGCCTCAGCGTCTCCAGACCTGTTGAGGTGTGATGTTAGCCCACAGCACCGGAGTTAACCCGCCAGCTTCTTCTTTTTTTTTTTTTTTTTTATGTTCTCCCCTACAAGCCCCTGCGTTAGCAACGGCAGGAAACAAAAGGTGAACGCAAAAGGAGATGGAAAACCGGGGGTTGAACTTGGCAGGCCACTTCCCCAATTCAACCTGCACCCAGTGATTCAGCAGGCCTTTGTGTGGGGGGTTTTAGGGAGGAGGGGGCAGACCGCTGGGAGGAGGAGACGAGAGGAGGAGAGCTTTTAAAGCCCGGGCACAGCTTCATGTCAAATTGCTTAAATGATACTAAATTGTGAGCCTCCTCGGATTTAGGTGGTAGGAAAAACAAATTCTCGCCGGTTATGGCTCCCAGAGGTCAGGCGGCCTCATGCAGGAATCGTTTTTTTCCCCCACCTCTTGGGTCACGCAAACACAGAAATAACACAAACAATTTGAGATGTCCGAACAGATTAGGAGAAATGCAATTTGATGGACGTGGAGGAGGAAATAGTTTCAATTTCCAATTTAAACATCTGTTTAAATCATTTCAATTATATTCAGCAGACACACATCGCCGAGGAAACCGAAAGGGAACAGATGTGGAGGAAAAATCCGAGAATCAAAGGCTTCGTATGACAAGACAGTCTCATTCTAATAACACCGGCAGCAGTCATATTCGGAGCCTAACGTGACATGTTAGGGAGGAAGACAGCTAATCAATGTCCAGGTGAATTATTTATCCCGGCTTTAAATTTAATAGATTTATATTACAGCCACCGCCGACTTCAAAAGCTCCAGCAGCTCGGACACACAGGGCGCCGCAGACGGAGGGGGGGGCCGAGGCGAGGTGGTACAGTAGGAGCCCGAAAAAAAAAAATATTCAGGTGCGTTCGTTGTGATTATCGGTTTTAATGTCGTGTCACTGCGTGCAAATAAGCACTTCCTCGTCTTAGTTTTGCTATGATGACACGGGTAATAAATCACAGCGCACAATTTAAAACAAAAAACAAAAACAAACACACCCTTCCTTTTGTCAGATCGGTGTGAAAATGGGAGATTCATGGGCTGGATGAGCAGAGCAAAGGTGGATCGCGTCTCAGAGGAGCATCTCTTCAGACGCATTGCAAAATGTGCTCTTTTATCTAACTGTTGCATGATGGCAGCAAACGCTCGCCAGGCTGCAGGACACATTGCTGTAATATTCATAAAGACAAAAAAAAAAAAAAAAAAAAGCTGCTCTATTGAAACAAGGAAGTCCTTCACTTTAAAATCAGCCTCGACGCTGTGAATGCGAGTTTGTGTCAGAGCCTGATGATGAGAGTAACGAGTGACTAATTCCACATACCAGCCAGCAGCATTATCGAGGCTGACAAAATGTGCTCTCCTGTGCGGAAGACACTCACACTCACACACACACGCACATGCACACACACCATCACATAAAGAGATATGAAGACATAGTGGGCAGCCTCACGTGAGACCACGGGCAGAAATTGTGTCAAGCACAAAAGAAAGCATGATGTGCCAAGGTGCGAGTTCATTTTTCAAGGCGTGCACAACAAAAACCAAAAACATGGAGGTAACGAATATCAGTTGAGTAGTTGTGGGTCAAATTTCCTAGAGCCTGGTCTTTGCCTTAACCTTGTAGAAAGAGATGACAGGTTCCTAAAGCACAGCCACGCTTCAAAAAAAAATAAAAATAAATAAAAAAATGTAAAAAAATAAGAGAAGAAGAAATTATGCTGCTCATGGCTTGTCTTTGGCCTCATGGGACCATCTGAGCTAAATGAGTGAGGGTGCATAATTACAACAGGGCTGATTGTGTCAAAATAAATAACATGAATTTGTTTGGTAACAGAGCTTTAAATGATTCTGGGTTTAAAAAAAAATGGAAAGGAAAAAAGGCGGCAGATTCCTTTCGGGAAGCAAAAGCGGTAGCATGCAAAACGGAGCAATCACTCGTGTTAAATAAATCACAACCTAAACAGTAAGTTTGCATTTAATACCAATACATTACACGTTGATTGTTTTTTTTTTTTTTTTTTTGCAAAAAGCAAGCATGCAACTTAAAAAAAAAATTATCCATGCAAATCCCTTTCAAATGCTTATTTGCATATTTGTTGCTTTTAAAAAAAAAACACTGTTCAGTGTGTTAGAGAGCCGTTGTAAAAGTGCAGCTCCCTGTAGTGTTAGTGGGGAAATAAAAAAAGGGCATTTTTGATGAGGCCATGCAAACACAAATCAGTTGCATTATTTAGGAGGAAGGGGGTGGGGGGATCACGCACTTTTAACCTAATTTTAATAAAACACGGCCAAATATTGTTATTAAAAATAAATAGAAAATTACAATATATTTAATTGAACAAAAATTTTCACTCAATTTCCCCTACCATTTATGATTTCAATTTATTTTTTGAATTCATTAGCATAGTTAGCATGTTAGCTTCCATGTTCAAGAGCGCGGTGCTGTACACTTCAGGAGGAGTTGGAAAACTTGGCTTCCACAATTTTTGCCCCCCCTTTTTTTCAGCTTTTTCTGGGTGACAACACTGCTTTGGAGCCTCGGTGTGTGTGTGTGAGAGAGAGAGAGAGAGTGTGAGGAAGAGTGTGTGAGGAGTGTGTGTGCAGATATCCAGCTGGTAAAATAAGTGAACTTACTGTGCGTGCTGTTGGAGAAAGTGATCCGTTGGGGAGGTAGGGGCTGGTGAGATCGGGGATCATTATAAACGGATAGCCCGGGTACGGTGGGCTCTTGAACAGCCCTCCATCTTGCCTTTTCGCAGCTAACATGGCGGGGGGTGGAGGGGAGAAGAGGAAAACTTTTAATAAACTGGCCTTGGAATGTGTTTTTTTTTAATCGTTGGAAATTGTATTTGAGGAAGAAGGCTGCAGGAGACTCCTTCCTCTGTTAAAAATACACAATGTCATGGTTGAGGAAAAAAAACAAAGATAGGAGATTAAAGGAAGAAACTCACCCTCTTCTAAACTTTCCCTTGTTTTGTCTCTGAAAGTTTCAGATCTAGGCGGAGGCCGTCTTTCCGCCTTGAAATGCAACGAAACACAAGGACTGCGTTAAAGTTATAGGGGGCTTTCATGGTGAACTCTATCAAAGTGTGCTAAGAAATGTAGGCCACCCCCTCAAACATGTAATGCGAACTTAACGGAGCCGATCGATCCGAACTTACCTCCGAGTCCGAAGAGCTGTTCTGATTCGTTTCCGACTCGTTTACGAGCGAAGATTTGACGTCTGCTAAATCCCTTTCTGCCGAGGAGTTCTCCGAGATTTTCTCCTCCTGCTCCCCTTCGTCTTTGAACGAAATCATCTCATCGTTTGCGCCCAGATCGTCCCCTCCACCGCCGTTGAGCTGCGGCATTTTTCCCCCGAGCAGAAGAATCGTTCTCGGGTCGAAAAAAACCACCAAAAAGTTTCAAACCCTTGATCTCTGCGAGCTCGAAAGTCCGAGAGTTTAAGTTTTTGGGGGGTTTTCTTTTTAAAAGAGAGGGTCTTCGTATTGGCGTTTTCCAAAAGCTCTGGTATATAAAACTCAAAAACACAAGGGGGGGAAAAAGAAGGGGGAAAAATGTTGGCAGAAAAATGGGGAAGCCGGAGAAGGAGCCGAGCCGCTCGGATTGAGTGAGTTGAAGTTGGTCGGAGTGGTTTTCAGTTCAAAGGCGGCGCTGATTGACAGATAGAGAGGGATGGAAATAGAGAGAGTCTGGATTCGGGATTATTGACAGGGAGAAACACACAAGAAACTAATGAGATTCAAACAGGGAGGGACTTGAAGTGACGTTTTCATAAATAGGAGGAAAAAAAAGAGGGAGAGAGAGAGGGAGAGAGGAGAGGGAGTGCTGGTTGGAGGAAGCCGGCTGCAGCGAAAAAGCATGTGAGGAGTGAAAATGCCAGTTTGGGAGTAGGACAGTAATGGTAAAATAGCAGGAAGATATAGGAGTTGCTTGCAAATGTGGATTAAACGCACATATGGGCGGTCTCTCAGCGCGAAAAAAGGAAGCAATGAAAAGAAGTCACTTTTATGGAGCTCCAAAAGTGCCGTAATTATATAAGGAGAAAGAATAAATAAAAGATTTATTCCTGAAATGTCAGTTTTTGAAATGGACAAGATGGTTCACCACGCAGGGTGGCATGCCATGAGGGGCGGCACAAGCCTGCCTTCCTTCCCCAAAACTTAAAGCAACAACAGTCAACCCCATTGACAAAAACTCTTTGAAGGAATGTTATGAAAGAAACATTAACTCAAGTCATCAAGATACACAGGAAGAGTTTGTTAAAATAAGCAAGACATTTTTTTATTTGTAGCTCTGATTAAAAAAAGAGGCTGACTTCCTGTTGGGTTTAGGATAAGAATTCAAGAGATTTTTTTTTTTTTTTTTAGTTTGACCTGCCAAGATTTACGTGTAAATTTTCATAGTTCTACATAAAACCGATATGAAGGAAATGCCCCAATTTCTTGATCACAAGAAAGTTGTGATTCCCCTTTGTTTACACTGTAAGAAAATATTTTCTACTTACGACACTATAATTGGTATGTGATTTAAATCCAGAAGAAATTGGACAATAACAATATAGACATCCAAAGGTACCACAAATTTAAAAGAAATAAATCAATGACTACCTTAATATGCCATTAATCATTTAACAAAATAGATAATTTATTAAAAGTACATAATGCAGTACATATTTTGATTATAAAACATGTATTTTATTTTGAAAATAATGTGTGGTTATTGCATATTTATTGATTTGATGGTTATCAAATAAAATATGGAGCTCCAAAAGTGGAACAGTGCAATCAAAATAAATAATTCCTTGATTATTTATTTTGGAAAAAAAAAATGCAGATAACAAAGACATATATTTAACATGGTACATATATCCACTTTAATTACAGGTCATTATTCTTTTAAGTCATTCACAGTTGTGTGTAATAAAGCTTACAGGGGCAGTATGTTTTAGTTTTTTTGTTGTTGGGTTTTTTCTTAATAGATGTTCAATAAATGTTTAATATATATATATATATCCCCATACATATCATGAAAGTTGTTTTTGTTATTTTATCATCTTCTATTTGATGTTTTGTTATTTGTTATGTTAAGTAGTCACCTCAGGTCCTTTTTTATTACATTTCCATGCCAGATATAAGATCAAGCTTAAAATATATTCTTCTAATTGTCTCTTAATTTCTATTGTATTTCAGTGACCATGTTACACCACAACAAACCAGTATGACATAGCTACTGCAGCATTTCGTAGTAATTTTTTAGGTGAAGTAATTTCTAGAAATGATGCCATGTTTGTCAGGAACTTGCTATAAAACAGGATTACAAAGATTATATCAGGGAATAAAAACGGTTTTCATGTAAACAATGGTTGTTGATGTGTATTTAACTATCAATATGTCTTTTTTTTTTTTTCTTTTTTTTTTTTTTCATGGGGGGGGCACCAAAACTGACTCTAGCCCCAACCCCCAAATTCTCCTCAATCCGACCCTGGTTGCGTCTAACCTATCAGATGTAGCAGTTAGCTCCAAATATTACAACTGATCTTAAAATTAATTTAAATTATTGCTTAGTCCACTGCCTCAAGAACCGAAAAGGAAATAATTATATGTGGCTTTAATATACAACTCAAAATGTTTGATTAATAGCTTTTAGCTAGTAGTATTTTATTATTCATAATTTTATTTTAGTCATTACACATTTCATTTCATCTTAATAATCATTTGTTAATGCTTTTAGGGGTGATGGATGATATTGTGACACCTTCGGCACTCAATACCTTCTTCAGGTCTTTTGCAGTTTATTCCCATCTAGTCTGTCATTCACTCACCAAATCAACTAAATATTACATCTGAATTTTAATTATTTTTCTCCCCCAAATCCATCCTGTTTTCCCCCTCTTTCCTTTTTCTTACACCAACTAAATACTCAAGGCCTGTATCAGAAGCAGAATTACTCTGAGCTGTTTTTAGCATTATCATTTTATCTGCTTTGTCAGCTCCTTAGATCTATTTTTCATTATATTGGCTAATGTTTCCTTAGATCTATTTTTTGGGATGGAGGGTGTTATTGCATCCTACTTTCTTGACAGGTGTGATGTCCTCTGGGACGCACCTGAATTCCTCACTGGCAGCAGAAGACTGAGCTGTTTTTATTTATTTATTTATTTATTTATTTATTTATTTATTTTATTTTTCCTATTTTTTTCCTCTCTCAGCAGCAGCCAGACTGGACACAAATAACAGATTCTGAATTGGATGCTCCATTTCCACGTCTTATTTTAGTCTAGCTGAACCTTTAAAAAGATACAAAAGAGGGATTTTTAACTGAATGTTTACAACTAATAGAATGATGTTTTCTATTATTTATAAAAAAAATTAACATCTCATTAATTGAAGCCAGAGCAATTAATATTTTATGTATCAAATAATAAACAGGTACGACACAATTATATAAAAAGCTGAAAAATGATTAAATAGCCATTTTAAAAACACCTTATCTCCATCTGAAATATATGTTAAAATTAAAAGCAGAGTCCATGCCTGCTAACCCTGTTAGCTGGAGGTACATATCAGTGATGAGCTCAGCAGCTGTGACTCAGTTACTTTATCAGATCAGTGGGGAAAATGCAGCTTCTGGTATCTGCCAGAAATTTGATGCTGCAATCACACACACACCAACAACAACACAAAAAAAACATCAATTAATTCAGCTCTAGCTACAAGAAATTGAGCTAAAACATCCATGCAGGTGACACTTGCAGTCTTGCAAAATCAAGCAGAGCAAGATCAAAACAAGAACACAGAATTGTTGATGAAGAAATATTGTCTGATGCCTTCATGCTGTAAGACGTGGGGAAACTAAATATTATGACACTAATTCCTCTGTATCTGCTGTCAGCGGGGTTGTCAGGGAGCACCGATGGGGAATCATTGTGCACGCATGCAGCAGCAAAATGCTGGGAGTCTGCTCCCAGACGCGCCCAGGCCAGGCAGCTCCCAGAAAAGCAGACGACTGCGCTCAGTGATCGCTGATGTGCTTTATCTGGATGAGGTGAAAGCAGCGCTTGTGTTGGCTGGCTGCAGCCCAGACAGCGACGTATGGGGAGGGCGTGAGGGGAAAAGAGAGAGGGGTTGCAGGCACCGGTTCTCATCCAGTCTTGTCTGTGTTCAGGCAGCTGATGGAGGAAGAAGAGGCACCCTGCTGTTCAGGGGCCCTCGAAATCTGGACCCCGCGCATCCCAGACCAAAGCAGAGGGGGCTCCAAGCTGGCCTCCACCCGGATTGCCTCAGCAGGTACCGGAGAGTTTACTGGGGGGGCTGGCAGCATGTTATCACGCGTGCCGTGGAGACACCTGTCTCTGATGCCGCCCCAGTGATTCTAATCTACAGGACCCTTTAATAACAAGATGATAGGCTTTGCTGCTGCTGCTGCTGCTGCCCCCACAGCTCGGGATGAGGGAGCAGACGCACGCTCTGCGTCCGTTGGTGTTATTTATGTTTGCTGTGGCTTTTGTGTGTTCACCTCTGCCCCTGGTGGCGGCTGCTTGGTAAAAAAAAGACCCAAAGATCCGCCACTCTTATCTCAAGAGGCAATGATCCCATGACAGCCCTGATCATGAATTTACTGATTCCCAGTGAAGCCATCACTTCTTCTGTCAAAAGAAAAGAAAAAAAAAATCTAATTTTTAGGTTATAAAATGTAAAACATATGGAGCCTATCTAACTGTGTGACCTCGCTGGAAACTTTGAAGGGATTTTTGTTCTCTTTGTCCTTCTGAAGTGTCAAAGAGAATATATTTGAGCTGTTATTGGTTTTTTCCTCAATGCATGTGTATTTCTTTAGGTAAATAACTTTTCAACAATGTTGAGAGAAATAAAAACATTACAAAATGCTCCGTGACCTACATGTCAAATTTCAATCATTATGTAGATATAACTTTGTTCTTCCTGTTTTATGTATTGTTTTGTACATTATAAAAGTTTTTTTTTTAGCATTTTGTTTTTTCCTCATTCCTAAAATTTGATGACTTTCATTCCATCAGCACTCTCCACATTTAATCATCCCTGTTTTATTTAAATCAGCCTTGTTTTGCAGCTGTGACACAAATTTGTGTAACATTTTTGAAATAAATTCATCTTTTTTTCTTTTTTTTTGCAGTTATATAATCGCGCATTGAAAATCCAACCTCTAAGCGTTAAGTTAATCACATTTATTGGGCTGGGAAACAACCGCTAGTTTCCTGTTCTTAATTCTCAGCCAGTCATTGACAGATTTACTGACACGTTTTGAGCCATAGCCATGTTTCAGTGCTTTAGCTGAGTCTTGTTTATTTATGTTTGCAGATGTTCTCATATTTTTCTCAGCAGCCCTCAGTCTGTGCAGTCTGGCCGGTCAGGTGTTGCTGCAGAAAAAGGGCCCAAAAGCATGATACTTAGGTCTCCAAGCTTCACAGTTGGAATGGGTTTCTTTTCTTGAATGCTGCATTTGGTTTATGTCAAACAAGTCCTCTAGTCCTCTGTTCTGATGCATAAGTAATTTAATTTTAGACTTGTTTGTCCTGGTCTTTGTCTATGTTCTTCCAGGCCAACTTCAGATTGGAATTATTTTCTTCTTACAGATCAAATGTTTTCTCCTTGCACATTTCAAGTCAAGTCAAGTAAACTTTTTTTTTTCTAAAGCAGACCGATCATTTAAAGCAGTAATAATCAACATAAAGTAGTCTAAACAGCTGAATGAAGAGTGGAATAAAACAATAAATCTCAACAAAGTAAAATAATAATAATTTCCAATGGAAGTTAAACTTCTGTTGACTGTTTCTAACTGCACAGACATTTAAAAATATCAACTTAGTTGATCCTGGACTTCCTGTT